AAAAAAAACTTGAAATGTATTTCAGCTACACCTAGAATCATAATCTTAGTGATACTCTTTTATAATGCAAAGTAGAAGATTCTCAGTGCTGCAAGGAGTGTTAGCTGTCCTTGGACCAGTTGCTTGCCCAAGTAATACATCTTCTCTGCTTTGTCTCGCTTTTATGCATCTCATTAAATCTTACTCCTGGCATTCTATTATTTGAACTGTTTATTTTACACTTATTGTTTATTGCCAAATATTTTTTATTGCACCTGTATTAGAGGCATAATTATACTTCTTTATGGAAAATACATATTTTTGTAAATACCATCTTTTAAGGTGTGCATTTGTATGGAAGGGTAACCAGATCTTCTGCATAAAGAATTTATAGAAATTAAATCCAGGAGACACTAAATGGATCCAGTCACAGCCCTAACTAGGCCCTGTAAGTGACATTACAAATGATAAACCTCTTCAGAATGAACTAGCTAAAAGCATAGACTTAAGCTAGAAGACTGACATATTTTTGAAAACAATTTCTAGGAAATAGATCCCTTTTAAGCTCTGCTTTTTGTACAAATAAATTTTTAACATATTTTGACTCTTTGTGCCACTGTCTAACCAGAAAATTTTTTTATAAATTTATTTTAAAAGGTTTGTTAAAGTATTTGTTTTATCTAATTTAAATGTAATAAATGTAATCTTTGTAAAAAGGTAAATGAATAGAATTAAGAAACTAACTGCCTGTGATCATGACATTGAAAGCTAGAATCACTTTTTATGTTCTTTTTCCCCCTGTCCGTATAGATACATATTTAAAAACAAAATTTGGATCACACTGTACATGAACTGTCTTACTTAATATTTCATTAGCATTTCCCCCATATTCTTTGGGAAATATATTAGTTTTCTATTGCTGTAACAAATTTCTACCAACTTAGTGGCTTAAAACAACATGAATTTGGGGGGAAGGGTATAGGTCAGTGGTAGAGTGCATGCTTAGCATGCACAAGGTCCTGGGTTAAATAAATGACCTCCCCCCCCCCGCCCCAACAAAACAACACGAGTTTATTGTCTTGCAGTTTTGGAGGTCAGTAGTCTGAAATCAGTCTCACTGGGCTAAAGTTAAGGTATTGGCTTCATTCCTTCTGAAAGTTCTGGGGGGAGAACCGATTTCTTTCCCTTTTGAAGTGTTTGGAGGCACCAGCATCCTTTGGCTCCTGACCTCTACCTTGTCTCACTTGAGCCTCGTGATTCCATCATCACATCTCCTGCCTTCACTTACAAAGGCTCTTGTAATTACAGTAGACTGGACAATCAGGGTATTCTCCTCATCTCTACACCCTTAGTTTAGTTACACTTGCAGAGTCCCTTTGGCCATATAAAATAACATTTACAGGTTCTGGAGATGAGAATGTGGACCTCTTTTGAGGACCATTATTCAGCCTTCCGAAGGAGCATATTTGAAATTGCTGCATTGCATTCCACTGTAAGGGTGAACCGTAATTATTCAGCTGGTCCACTATTGCTTTTACTTATTTATTTTTTCTTAGTATTTGTGAGAATACATTTTTAATATACATATTTTAATTGAAATATACTCAGTTTACAGTGTTGTGTCAATTTCTGGTGTGCAGCACAATGTTCCTGTCATACATGAGCATATATATATTTCTTTTCATGTTCTTTTTCACCATAAGTTACTACAAGATATTGAATACAGTTCCTTGTGCTGTACAGTATGAACTCCTGGTTTATCTATTTTATATATATATAGTAGTTAGTATCTACAAATCTTGAACTCCCAATTTATCCCTTCCCCCCTTCCCCCCACCCCAGTAACCGTAAGTTTGTTTTCTGTGCCTGAATCTGTTTCTGTTTTGTAAATAGGTTCCTTTGTCTTTTTTTTTTTAAAGATTCCACATATGAGTGATATATGGTATTTTTTTTCTCTTCCTGGCTTACTTCACTTAGAATGACATTCTCCAGATCCATCCACGTTGCTGCAAATGGCATTATTTGATTATTTTTTATGGCCAAGTAGTATTCCATTGTATAAATATACCACAGCTTCTTTATCCAGTCATCTGTTGATGGACATTTAGGTTGTTTCCGTGTCTTGGCTATTGTAAATAGTGCTACTGTGAACATTGGACTGCATGTATCTTTTCCAGATAGTTCCCTCCAGATAAATACCCAGGAAGTGGAATTGCTGGATCATATGGTAGGTCTATTTTTAGTTTTTTTGGTTTTGCATAATGGCTGCACCAAACTACATTCCCACCAGCAGTGTAGGAGGGTTCCCTTTTCTCCACACCCTCTCCAGTATTTATCGTTCATGAACTTTTGAATGATGGCCATCCTGACTGGTGTGAGGTGATGCCTCATTGTAGTTTTGATTTGCATTTCTCTGATCATCAGTGATATTGACCATTTTTTCATGTGCCTGTTGGCCATTTGTATGTCTTCACTGGAGAATTACTTGTTTAGGTACTCTGCCCATTTTTGGATTGGGTTGTTTGGTTTTTTGTTACTAAGTTGTATGAGCTGTTTATATATTCTAGAAATAAGCCTTTGTCAGTCACATCATTTGCAAATATTTTCTTCCATTCCATAGGTTATCATTTTGTTTTGCTTATGGTTTCCTTTGCTGTGCAAAAGCTTGTAAGTTTATAAGGTCCCACTTTGTTAATTTTTGCTCTTATTTCTGTTGCTTGGGCAGACTTCCCTGGGAGAACATTGCTGAGATTTATGTCATAGAATGTTTTGCTTATGTTTTCTTCTAAGAGGTTTATAGTGTCTTGTCTTATGTTTAAATCTTTATGCCATTTTGAGTTGATTTTTATGCATGGTATGAGGGAGTGTTCTAATTTCATTGATTTACATGCAGCTGTCCAGTTTTCCCAACACCATTTGCTGAAGAGACTGTCTTTTCTCCATTGTATATTCTTCCCTCCTTTGTCAAAAGATTAATTGACCAAAGTTTGTGGGTTTATTTCTGGACTCTCCCTGTTGCTTTTAGATGGTCTCTAATTTTTACCAGTTAAAATCCCTGAACATTAATCTTTGTGTGCTTTCAGATTCATACTTCTATGGAATGAATTTTGCAGGGAGGTTTTAGGAAAGTGGGGTAACCTAGCTCTTAAGAGTGTTGCTCCTGGAGCCAGACTACCCAGGTCCCCAGCCCAGCTTTCCCACTCCCTGGCCATGTGGCTCCAGGCACAGAGCCATCCTGCGTCTAAATTTTCTCATCTGAAAATTGGATAGGAACAGGTTGTGAGCACTAAGTGGGTTAATACATGGAAATTACTTAGAATAATGCCTGCCACATGATAAATGCTCAGTGTCAGTTACTGTTATTATTGAATATATTAGACTAGAAGATTTTTTCATTCACATGTTGGCAAGTTACCATTCTAAAAGGTTATAATTTTTACATTCAGTAGCAACATATGAGAGTAGTTTTTATTGGGTTGAATTCTTAAACAAGATTTTATTTTATACTGGGTGTCTCCAATTTTTGTCTGTCAAAACGTTATTTTTATAATGTAAATTATAGAGAGAACTGGGGTTAATTTTAGCAGCCATTTACTTTCTCAATTCCACAGTTCCTTAGAATGAGACATACTTTTTGTCTGATTTTTTAATCCCCTTGTTTTGTTTTTGTTTTTTTGAGGGGGGAGGTAATTAGGTTCATTCATATATTTATTTTTAGAGGAGGTACTGGGGATTGAACCCAGGACCTTGTGCATGCTAAGCATGCTCTCTGCCGCTTGTGCTATACCCTCCTGCCGAGAAATACTTTTAATTTGACTTTGACTAGCTCTGTCCATCATTTGGAATGTTTGGATGTCATTCTGTTTGACAGTTGATGCTGTCAGTGTGCTTGACAAGGTCTGTGGTCTGGTTATGCACACAATGGTCAGCACAGAGTCTCAGAGAAAAGGCTTATAACTGCGCCCACTCCACCATCACATTTAGTACTTCCACCCTTCTGAGGGCAATGCCAGCAACTGAGAGTAATTATAGGACTTTTTTACTTTTTTTTTTTTTCATATTTTGGAAACCATGTCAACCTACCAGAAAGGGTCCAAGAACAGTACAAACCCTTTTTTCCTCTGAACCATTTGAAATTAAGTTGCCCATTATCCCCAGTTATGTTAATGGGCATTTCCTGCAAGCAAGGAGCCTGGTTTCTTCTAGTGGAGAATAGTATTAAGAAAACCAGTTCTGGGCACCAAGGGGGCTCCCTCCCGGTGGGATGTCACTGCCCCATGTCCTTTTAGTAGACAGAGCTGGGAAATACATGTGTGTGTGTTTGTGTGAATGTGTGTACCCAGATATGCATGTGTTTATGTCTGCTCTGTCTGTGTTGAAAACCTTGAGATCATACCAGTGTTTCCAGTTTCATTCTGATCTCGTGTTGTTCATCCAGGTTTTTCCCCCCTTTCATATTTGTGACTTCCTTCTCTGATAGTGAGAAAGCTGCTTTCCACTGTCCGCAGAATATTGATTTGATCAAATCAGTGTCCCTTTGTCCCTGCTGGCACCTCACTCAGCTCTGACACCCCTCTCAGTCTCCATCCCTCCCCACTGGGCCACTGCGGCTCTCCCACCAAACCTTACTTCTGGTCCTCGACTGCATTATTCAGAAAAGGAAGAAGAAAGGAAAAGTTAAAACACTTTTTATAAAGAGTGTTTTTCTTTTCATGTGTGTTTGTGTCTGTGTTTACATACTCTTTGCTTATCTTATTCTTGTTCCTACTTATCTCTTTGTCACTAGATGGTGAGCCTGTCTTGGAGAAAATGGTCTCCAGGTCTGCACTGTGTGGTGAGAGCCAGGAAGGACCCCTGTGGACACGGTGAAGGGATGCCTTCAGAGCCCCCGCGGAGGAGTCCGTGGGAACTGGCTGTCTTTAAAACAAACAGGCCAAGGGCACAGAGGTCGGTAGCCGGTGGCCGGTCTGGTGACCCCAGTGCCCACATCATCACTCACCAGCCTATAGCTCCCTGGTGGTGTTTTTGTTTTCCTTAATGCAAATTTGTATTTTAAAGCCTTCTTCTTCTGGGATTGGGAATCTGTAGAAAGCTCAGTGTCTGTTGTCATAATTTTTACGAGCCACACCTCTTTAAAAAGAGTGTCTTAGAACCCAGATTTTAGTTCACCCTTAAAAAATATAAGCAGGTTAGCCAGATCCACACAAACCAGGGAGTGTCGCCTTGTCCTTGTCAACCTACTCCTCCCTGTGGGAATTCTCTACCCGAGATGGCTTCTTTCCAGCCCCTGGAGGTTTGGAGACTAGAGCAGGCTGGCTTCACCAGTGCTGCCCTTTGGTGGACGGTTCAGTGACCTTTTAATTACTAAACCAGTGACCACCTTTCATTATGGAAATTCTTTTTCACTTGATTTTGAGGTTCTTTTGACCTCCCTGTTCCTTCTGCCCTGAGCCGTGCCCTCCCAGCTCTAATGTTCATCCTCAGTTTCTCCTGTTCAGAACTCGGGTCCTATTAGTGTTTCCCAAACCAGCTTTTTCTGCAGCCTTTTCCATCCCATTTAGGGGCAGACACCATCAGTTTTCGAGCAAGAGGCCTTGGTGTCATCCTTGGCTCCTCCCCTGCACGCCCCCGCATCTGGTGGTCAGCAGAGTCTGTCTTCACCTCCACCTCCACCTTCGTCATGGGACCACCTTCATCGTCTTGGACCCGGCCACCATCTTTGCAGGAGCCTTCCAGTTGGTTCCCCGCTGCTGCCTGTGCCCCCTTCCACGTGGCAGCCAGGGTGAGCCGGCTGGTGAGGCTTCTCTGCTGGGATCATGCTTTCCTTGCTGTTCACAACCCTGCCAGGTCAGACTCCACTTGAGCCCACTGCGGTCCTCCTCAGGCTGTCCTGGGAAGATGTGCAACCCGGCACCTGTGTCTGTCCCTCCTCTGCCTCATCCTCCCCTGCACCCGCTTAGCCGTCAGTGTTTGGGATCGGCCTCTTTGCAGGATGGCACCTGCAGGGCTGTGTCCCTCTCTTAGTAACCTTGGTTTCCTCTGCGGCACCTGGCAGCATCTTAAACTTGGTTAGCACTCTGTAAACCTGTGTGAGTTAATGAATAAATTAAGGTATAAAGTCTTCTTTTCAAAAAACCTAAAAAGTTTTCCTATTCTTTCTGGAAGAGAACTGATTACCTTAGGCATTTTAAAATTTAAAAACCCCTAATCTGTTCTTTCCATTTTTCTTCTGAAATCAGGCTCCTGCTTCAGCTGTAAGAGAACACGAGCCGTCTCCCCTCGCAGGCTCAGTGTAAGTTGACGGTCTTGAGCTGTGTGTGTGGGTTAATTTGACACAGGTTTAGTTAAAATTGATCTAACCCACCTTAGGTCTAAGATTTGCTAACTAACGTGACTTGCTATATTTGGGTTCTGTCTAGCCCAAATGTGTCATAGATCCTTTAGCATGAGGCAGAGGAGGTTTTTTTCTTTATTAAAAAAATTTTGCCTTCATTGAGTGAGAAACCTGTTTAAATCTTCTACCCGTAAGTTCATTTCCTGTAACATGAGAGCTCTTATCACTAGTGATTAG